GTGGCGCCTTCCAACAGTTCCAACAGCTCATCATACGCAGGGCAGGAGGATTGGGAAGGCTCAGCCTCTTCGCCGTCTCCCTAAACTTTCTCCTCCGTGCCTCAGCAGCGGCGGGTCCTGAACCGCGGGAAACCGATGGTTTTCCCTCTCCCCTCGAGAAGAGAGACAAACGAGAGCGGAGCTTTTTCATCGAAAAACGCTCACAATGCACGCAAATCGCCCCCTCAAGGACGTCGCGTGCGTGCTCCTCGCCCAAACACAAAACGCAGAGATCGTGTGTGTCATCAGGTGTCAAATAGCGACGACACTGATGCACACACCCTCTAAACGCTCTGCTAGTGCTCGCCATAATAATAGATAGTAGATCGCTCTTACCACGTTCAAATGCACGCGTCAAACAAAACAGTCAATGAAGACGAAGAATTTATACTATAGTCGCACCGGTAGTGATGTCATGGGCTGTCGCCGGCCAACGTGTTGTTGGTGTTTTTTCAATGTATGCTTCAGACACGGGTCACGACGAGGCGTTCCCCATAGCGACCCCTAGAGGACGCAGTTCGAAGTTCCCTTGAAAGGGAACTTGTTGTTTTGAGCACTCAATTGAAAATGTACACATACCGTTTCAATCATACTTACAGGTTGTGGTTCGGAGAGCTTGTTAGTCCAAATAAAGAAGATTAGAAGCCAACGAAGATAAAAGCCAAAATTAGAGAAGCAGTCATTGGTAAAATGACATGCACACAACAAAAGGTTCGAATTGTATTTCTGTGGTATCCTTGAACACAGCGTCTTCTCAACATGATGTAAACACACTAACTAGCGGAAGTGTTTGTGGGCAGGTCAGACTCTGTTCGTATTTCGCGGGCAGGCGGGGATTATGCAGATGTGTTACCCAGTGACGTATACCGGTAACAGGCAAAATATTCGAAAATATGACGACTCGTTAAGGCGATTCAGAATCGACTCTCTCTTTTGAGAGACAATATCTTTATTTATCATGCACGTTTTTGATTAACAACTTTGCAGATTGTTTTCATTTAAGGATAGCTACGTTATAAACTGCAAAAGAGATATTTTTCAAAAACCCATATGACCTGCTCTTTAATCACTTACCCCCCATGTCGTTCCAAACCCGTAAAAGCTTTGTTCATCTTTGGAACACAATTTAAGATATTTTGGATGAAAACCGGGAGGCTTGTGACTGTCCCATTGACTGCCAAGTAAATAGGCCCAGAAAAGTATGAAAGACATTAGGGCTGCATGATAAATCGCATGCGATATTTACTGCGCATCTTGTCAGTAAAGCCGCTTCTGTAATCATATATGTAATTCATATATGATCGTGGTTTTACGCAGCTTGTCCGTGAACAACGGCTCTGTGTAGTAAATGCTGCTCCATGTGAAGGCACGCACTTGGAGATTTACCGCTGATTACAGAAGCGGCTTTACTGACAAGATACTCATTAAATATCGCATGCGATTTATCGTGCAGCCCTAAAAGGCATCGTCAAAATAGTCCATCTGCCATCAGTGGTTCAATCTGAATTTTATGAAGCGACGAGAATACTTTTTGTACACAAAGAAAACAAAAATAACGACTTTATTCAACAATTCGTCCCCTCCGACCATAGCGCCATTTTGTAGAGTATCCACTAAACGTAAACTGCGTATGCTGTTCTACTTGTCTGTGTCAGCTGCACCACATGAATACGCTGTTTTCGTTCAAATCAAAGCGTAAATAAACATAGAAAACGTATCCGTGTGGTGCAGCTGACACAGTAGAACAGCATACGCAGTTTACGTTCAGTGGATACTCTGCAAAATGGCGATACGGTGACGCAGAGACGAATTGTTGAATAAAGTCGTTATTTTTGTTTTCTTTGCATACAAAAAGTATTCTCGTCACTTAAAATTCAGATTGAACCACTGATGGCAGATGGACTATTTTGACGATGTCTTTCATACTTTTCTGGGCCTTGACAGTGTTATTTACTTGGCAGTCAATGGGACAGTCACAAGCCTCCCGGTTTTCATCCAAAATATCTTAAATTGTGTTCCGAAGACGAACAAAGCTTTTACGGGTTTGGAACAACACGGGGGTAAGTGATTGACAAAATTTTCATTTGGGTGGAGTAACAAAAAACAAAATGAGATTTGTCAAATTATAAATGAAAAGGTGTCCTTTTATTATTTCTCCAACAAAATGCTGCACATTTCTTTGTGAAATTGAAATATGTCAAATAATAAAACTAACTTGAAATTTTAAAACAAATCCAAAATCAAATAATTAAATAATACAAATAAAATAAATTTCTTCATATAAACAAACTGATGCTTTGGCTGTACTTTTTCCATTTAAAATCAGAGGAAACCACTGCATTTTAATCACGATCCAAAAAAAAGATGCTTAATACATGTTATTTAGATTGCAATTGTATTGTATAATTTTGAAATTTAAAGCAAAAACAGAATGGTTTGATTTTAGCTTTGTGAATGAGACGCAAATGTCACTCTCTGACAGCAGGTGGCGCTTATGGAACAGCAGGTGTTTATAGACTGCTGCCCCTTTAAGACCGAATGCACGGATCCAATATAATGATGCACTTGAGATTTCTTCCTCCACTGTGTACGTTCACTTAAGACATAACCGACTGGGTTTACGAGAATAGTTGGCGAGACAGTTTTTTTTTAGATAATTTTGTGTGTATGCGTTCATGCAGATGCAAGGATACGCGAAAGAGGAATCAATTCTGTGTACGCGCATTGTCTGAAACGCGGCTCTCTGTGCGCGCAGCTCCGAATGCGCGTGAATGGTTTAAAACACTTGAATGTTTAAATCGGCAAGACTTAGAAACACGTGCAAACGATCAACTACGATCCGTTTTACCCCTACAAGCTAGTGAACAACGCAAATCAAGGAAGGAATTTTATATCACTTTTCAAGATAGCCCGTCAGGCAGGGCGGTGATACATTGTGGTAGCCCGACTGGAAAACACAATAGCCCCGGGACGATTTTGCGAGCCCTGCATAGAGGCACAAAATCACTCTCCAGGATATTCTTATCATTTCTATCATGCAGAAATGGATAGTGTAGTGGCTTTTTTTCGGCTCCTCCCGTGCTTTCCTGCGCTGGCTTCTCAGCTGACCATCTCTTTATGTCAGGATGCTTTGGGCAGTGTAGTTTGAGACATAAAGGTTCAGAACTGTTATGTGAATTGTGATTTGTGCATTGTGATGTGATTTTATGCAGCCTTCAAGTCATGTTGGAATGAATGTATTTACGAGATAAGTGCACATGAATGGTACTTTCTGTGGCATACTATTTAGTGAGAAATTTTGAGCCTTGACCCTCTGGAATAGGGCATGTGAATTCAAGAATCATGGTGATTAAAAAAGTTGGTTTGTCATAAGTTGTAGGCTAATTGTGAATATTGACTGTACAATTTAGTCTGTGTGTGTTTCGTGTGTTGTTGATAAGGAATAGCTATAAAGCTTGCTAGAAATACTACTCATTTAGCCAGTTTATGAGGCGGCAGACTTGCGTGACAAAACGAAATTTTCCATCATTATCTATGTGTCATTCTTGTGCTGACACAGAGAAAGCATCAATTACACTCAATTTGCTCTTCTTTGTGTTGCATTTGAACCAAAAAAGCTTCCTGTCTTTGAGAAGGTATAAAAGAGAGACATAAAACTAAAAACACAACTATTTTATTCAGGCTAAATTCACTTTAATGCACGTGTTCATAATTATGACTTCCAAACACACAGGAAATTCTCATGAGGACTTAAAGAGAACTAAAACAATGGATGTTTTCTTGGTGTCTTATGCTCACCTAGGCTGTATTTGATTAAAATATAGTAAAAACATTAATATTGTGAAATATTATTATTATTATTATATAATATTATTATAAAATAATGGTAAAAATAAAGTGTAATTTATTCCTATGATGCAAAGCTGCATTTTCAGCATTATAACCAGTCTGAAATCATTTTAATATGCTGATTTGTTGCTCAAGAAACATTTCTTATTATTATCAATGTTGAAAACAGTTGTGCTGCTTAATAGTTTGGTAAGAAACCTTGGTACTTTTTTCCAGGACTCTTTGTTCAATAGAAAGTTTAAACCACTTTGAAATCTTATGTAACATCATTTCTTTAAAAAAAAAATCTTGTTCAACCCAAACTTTTGAACTGTAGTTATATGTATGTTGCAAAAAAAAATAAAAAATTGTAGTATTACTGGTGAGATCAGTGGGAAAACATCCTTATTGCTGAGCCCTGTCTTTGATTTTCTCTGTGTGGGTGTTTTTCCCCCAATATGTCATTTAATTGCTTTTTATTTTTCAGTTATTGAATTAACATCATTTGGGGCTTTAAAATGTGCCTAAAACAGCGCTATCATAGTAGCCATCTTTCTAATGAATTGCGAATTCTCTGTAATGCAAACTGAAGCGTTCAGCTGAGCTCCACAGCAGAGGTCACAGGAAAGACATGTGACTGCTGGAGTCAACAGATCTCTGGTAATGTGCACCAATATGATGCACAGAGCCAAAGCTTAAACATGGCCTCACTGTCTGTTTTCTTCTCTTGCTCTTTAGGTGTGGCCGAAACAGTCCTTCTGCTGTGAGGGAGAATTGCTCTCCTGTCTTTTCTCTCTCCTGATGCCTCCTTCTGCACTGTAAATTCATGATCACATGACTTTGGATATGGACGCAGTCCTGTCCGACTTTGTCCGTTCTACTGGAGCTGAACCCGGACTGGCCAGAGACCTGCTGGAGGGTGAGCAAAAACCATCCTGTTCCCCATTATCCTCACTGATTTTATATATATATATATCAGTGGCGAGCGGTGACTTTTTTTAACCGGGTATGCTGAGTGA